TACATGGACTGCATCTCAGACTCCATGGCCTGGTGCCATTTCTCGGAATCGGAACTCGCCATAGCCTCTGAATACGACATAAGCTCGTCATGTTCTAACAACATGAGTTCATCGTTTCCAGTCACAATAAAACCGTATCTTGTAGGCTCTTGGCGAACTCTACTAGATCTCCGAGGTCTACTAGGAGGTACTGTCTCAACAACTTGTGATACAGGTTGAACTGTTTCGACCTATTCACTCGGTTCTTCGACTATTTGTGGTTCTCGAACTTCTTTGAGATCTACTCTACTCCCACTAACTCTCTTGGAGATGAATTCTCTCTCTAAGAAAGATCCATTCCGAGCAACAAACACTTTGTTCTCGGATGGGTTGTAGAACCAGTACCCTTTTGTTTCCTTAGGGTAACCCACAAATATGCATTTCTCAGATTTGATGGATAGCTTATCAGAAGCCAGACGTTTCACATAAACTTCACATCCCCAGATCTTCATAAATGCTAACTTGGGACGCTTCCCAGTCCATATCTCATATGGTGTCTTCTGAACCGACTTTGTTGGACAATTGTTCAGTATAAGCGCAGCCGTTTCCAGAGCGTAGCCCCAGAAGGATTTAGGAAGATCGACCTGACTCATCATACACTGTACCATATCTAATAAGGTTCGGTTCTGATGAGGACATCCCGGAACTTGGAACAGGAACGGAGCTAGAAGCGGAGCTAGGAGCGAAAGCGGAGCTAGGAGTGGAACCGGAGCAAGGAGCGGAACTGGAGTTCGGAGCGGGAATGGAGCCGAAGCTTGAAGATCCAAGGATTGAGCCCACACGTCCCGTTCGCATGGATCCTCCTATCACTCGATCCAAGACACGGACACTTCGACAACAGTATGTCAAGATCCTCTAGATAGCCCTTCATCTTGAGGATATGAGTACTCACGGGTGAACCATTTGTCATCTTACAGTTGACCAGGTTCTTAAGGACGTTAAATCGCTCGACCCTTGCCTGTTCCTTGAACATAGTTTTGAGATGCTCGATCATCTCGAAGGCATCAGTTCCTTCGAGTTGTTTCTGCAACTCAGCCGACATAGATCCGAGCATCAGGCAGGTCACATCCAGGTTGTCATTGATGTGCTTCTGGTAAGCATCTTTGACAGCCCTGGGCGCGTTGGCTGTTGGTTCATCCTCAGGAATGGCTTCTTCCAGCACGTAGAGCTTCCGCTCATGCCTGAGAACAATTCTTAGGTTGCGGTACCAGTCGAGAAAGTTTTCACCAGTGAGTCTCTCCCGATCCAGGATGGATCGCATGGAGAGATTAGCCAGATTATCTGCAACAGTCATATTCTACAGAAAAAGATAAACAACAGACAGAAAACATGCAAGTCGCTTAGTACACATACTATCACAGATAATAGATGTAATATGACAGGCTCCCACTAAGAAAAACACCCTCAATGAGTTTCTAAGTGTGTTAGGATCCATATTTCACATGTTTTTGAGTCAGCTAGGGCATGACACTCAAAACCATGCTATTTAGATAGACAACACATTGTCAATCATATCATATATGATTCCTAGATGAGTATGGGATAGTGATACGCTATCACTACATGTTCCTCATCCCATCCTTACCATTACCTCCAAGTCCGACTTGATAACCCAATTCAAGCTCAACCATATTCGAGCTATGAGAATCACGATTTCTCCATACTGTCTCACCAAGATAGTCAGACACGCTCAGCTAGGGCATGTTCCGTAACCATGACGATCGAGGCCTTGAAAGTTGCTCTACTAATGGGCGGTAATAGCTTGAGATTGATCATGAGAAAAAGGACAAAATTTTGGACTTGAGAAATGTCTAAGGTACAGTCCGGAGCTGACCAGAATTTGATCCACCGGACTGATCTCAATCAGCTTCTTTGGTCCGCCGTTCTGTCAGTTTTCGAGAAATATTCTGAGCTTGGTCCGGGGCTGACCAACTCTTGGTCAGCTCCGGACCAACTTAGTCTTCTTCTCTGCTCCGAGCTAACCTGGAATCGGAGCTCAGTTCAAAAACTGAGCTTGGTCCAGGACTGACCAAACTTGGTCAACTCCGGACCAAATCGGCCTGTTCCTTCGCTCCGAGCTGACCAAAGAAAACGGAGCGCAGTCCAACTGGGCTTGGTCCGGGGCTTATCAAACTTGGTCAGCTCCGGACTAACTCAGTCTGTTTCTTTCGGTCAGTCTCCCAATCCTCGTCTCGGACCTGCATTGTCTTCGCTTGGTCAGCCGGACCAACTTTTGGTTTAGAGCTGACCAGTGAGGACTTTGGTCCTCCTGACCAAACAGGCGGTCCGGAATCTGATCTGCCTGCTGGTCCGGCTGACCGCGGACAGATCAGATTCAGGACAAGTTTCTAGGTTCTGAAAATTAGGGTTTGACCCCGTTTCGTCGCACCATTAACCGTCCCAGACTCCATACCATCCATGCATCATTTAACAATCACAAATATCCTTAAACATGCATAGATTCAATGGTTACATGTAATTTAACGATTAAAATCATCCAATCATATGACAAGCACAGCGATATACAGAGAACCAGGCTCTGATACAACTCTTGGGTTATCTACGGGTTCCTAGCATGCGATCATAACGATCTAGAGTTTGGTTTACTAGGTTTCATGCAGTGGAAGAAAGATCTAAACCTAGTCAAACGTCACACGCAACCAAACTTGGTAAAACCCGAAAGATCGTGTATATCATCGAGGGAATCATTACTTACCTCGTTCTCGTTGAAACTTGAAGCAAATATCGATCCGGAGCTTCTCTTAATCACCTAGGACTGAAGTTACAGTCCCTCTACACGTATCCACACTGACGGAAAGGATTCCAAACGATTTAGAACGTATCTGCTAGGATTACTGAAGAAAAGGGTAACTCGAGAGACCAGATCTAATCTCGAGAAGCTAAAAAACGAAAAGAATGAATTCTCTAGGGTTCTTAGATGTCTCTCTGAGTTTTAGGACGGCCTTAATTAAGTTTGGACAAAATCCCAAACTTAAATAAGTTTAGAAAACCGTAAATCCGAATTTTAGGAAAAATCCCAGATCCCGCTCCGCTGGACCAAGCTTAGTCCGAACCTCTCGGACCGCTTGACCTGGAGGCTTAGTCCGACTGACCAAGTTTGGTCAGCTCCGGACCAAGCCTCTTGGTTCTCTTTTGGTCCAACGTGCCAGCACCTCGGTCCGCCTGACCCAGCGTCTGGTCCGGAGCTGACCTACTTTTGGTCAGCCCCGGACCAACACACTGAAAATCCTTTTTCATGCTCGTTTCGATCAAATCTCATTTCTATTCTCCAGATTCTTCACGTATAAGTCCATCACTAGTGGTGTGTGACCCTGTAGGCCCATTCTAAGTGTTAGTGACTTCGGGAACCTTTCCCGAACCACAAGTCATGGTTAGCCTCTAGCAAGACGCCATGACCACCCACTTAGAATTGAGTTAGAGATGATCTAACCAAGGCATTAACATCTAGAGTTCTGATCCTTTGCCTCACGATATCATATGTTGAACAAGGGCATGGTTTGAGCCACCCTTCAAGTTCAACCGCTTTCTCATCTTGGCAAATCGACTAGTAAAATAGATGCAGCTTTATCTATAGCATGGCCACGCATTTTTCATAGTCCGACTTCCACGAGAGGGTCTAGCTATATCTCTCCTGTTAAGGAGGTGACAAGTCCCATATTGCATGTCTACTATCTCCATATGATTCGTGAACGTATCTGATCAACGCCGTTATAATCATCCGGTTAAAGACGATGTTTGATGCAGTCAAGACACCAATCTAAATAGTAATTATATTAATATGTAAACTCTATACGAAATAAAACTCTTCGTATTACTCAATAGTTTATATATACATATATGTGAACAAGAAATATAAAAAACAAAATATTAGAGTTTTTTATTACTCGTGTCTGAACCAAATCGTCTCGGATTCCTTCACTGAATTATTGTATTCTCATGGTAAAACGCTTCATTTATCTGTCAAATCCATCTTTTTACAATACAAAGACACACACATATATATATATATATATATATATATATATATTAATGCATGCATAATATACATATATATACATACGTATGCATATTATATATATATATATAATTATATGTGTATACCAATAAACATGTGTATATATTTATATATTTACATATATACTTATGTATAATATATACTACGCACTAACATATATATTATACATGACACGATGGTGTTATCGTGTATAACAATAGCGCCATCGTTTGTTTGTTTGTTTTTTTTTGTAGATTGATTTTTTTTTCGCTCATTCTATTTTGTTTGAATCTCCTGAAAACTTCTCAATGAAGTTTGTTTTCCGTTTTTTCCTATAAAATATAAAAACATCAAAATTGGAGAAAATTATACAAAATAAAGTCTATAAACATATAAATCTTGTGAAATATAATATAAATTATATAAAAAAATAAACATATATACATGTTATCAAGATGTAATGGTATTATTAAATTTAAGATACCATTGTCGGGAAGCTTGTTTTAGTCCATAAATTGATTTTCTCAGCTTACACACTAAATTTTCTTTTCCCGTGGATATAAATCTTTCAGGATGATCTATATATACTTCTTCCTCTAGATCACCATTCAAAAAAGCGGTTTTAACATACATTTGATGAAGCTCTTTATAGCTTGTGCCTTCCTTTTGCGTATAACCTTTGGCAACTAGTCGGGTTTTATATCTTTCAATATTACCACATGAGTCAAGCTTAGTCTTAAAGATCCATTTACAGCCGACTTTCTTTGCACCTTCTGATAAATCTACTAACTCCCAGACATTATTGTCGTTCATAGATTTTAATTCTTCTTTCATGGCATCAAACCATTTTCCAGATCTACAACTATTCATGGATTGTTGAAATGTAGATGGGTCATTATCAATGTTTAAGTCACATTCATATTCTAGAGCATAAACCACATAATCATCTGAGATCGCAGATCTTCTTTCCCTTTCAGATCGTCTCAAGATGATTGGCGGTTCATTAATCTCATCCGGTACCGTGACTGGTTCATTAATAATGTTCTCATTATGTGGGTTATGGACATGCTCTTGTTGTATTGGGATATCACGAGACGTTGATGTGAATTTCGGCAAACAACAGAAGGGATATCAGATGTGAAAACATTATCATGGATCTCTTCTATGCCAACTTTTCGTGATTCATCATTCCCACTGATTTGACAATTTTCAATGAACCTCACATTGCGAGTTTCCATAATTCTCGTACTATGGTTAGGACAATAAAATATAAATCCTTTAAACTTTTCTGGATAATCAATGAAAAATCCACTGGTTGTCCTAGGATCAAGCTTCTTTTCATGTGGATTGTACACTCTTATTTTCGCTTGGCAACCCCAAACATGCAGGTGCCTTAAACTCGGTTTTCTCCATGTCCACATCTCATAAGGTGTTTTAGAAATTGCTTTGCTAGAAACACGATTAAGCAAATAAGTTGTCGTTTTTAATGCATACATCCACAACGAGAGAGGTAAAGAGCTATTACTTATCATGCTCCTAACCATGTTCATTAATGTACGATTCCGCCTTTCTGCTACACCATTTTGTTGCAGTGTATCGGGCATTGTGTATTGTGCACAAATACACTTACTCTCGAAGAATTTCACAAATGGACATGGACATTGTCGAGTCTCATTATATTTTCCATAATACTCTCCACCTCTATCAGATCTCACAACTTTAACCCTTTTATCTAACTGCCTCTCAACCTCATTGATGAACGCTTCAAGTATGTTCACAGATTGAGATTTATCATGCAGAAAATAAGTATAACTGTAACGTGAGTAGTCATTAATAAAAGTGATAAAGTACCTTTCTCCGCCCCACGTGAAAATATTAAAAGGTCCACAAATATCAGTGTGAATTAATTCTAGAAGTTGAGTACTTCTTGTAATCGCTTTCTTTACAGTATGTTTTGACTGCTTTCCTTTGATACAGTCTATACGTACCCCTACGTCACTAAAACCCAAACATGGTAAAATTTTATTCTTCACCAATCTTATTAACCTTTCTTTGCATATGTGACTTAATCTTTGATGCCACAATAAACCCGAACTTTCATTGTTAGGTGCACTTTGTTTAACGTCCATAATTTTTTCAACATTAAACACGAATTCTGAAAACTTTCTATCAAGATTAAAACAATAAAGATCATCCATTAAGATACCAGAACCGAAAATGTGTTCATGTTTACATAATTGAAAAATACCAGAACCGAATTTAACAGAAAAACCCATCAAGTCTAATTTTCCAATAGAAACAAGATTTCTTGCACATTCAGGAATATAAAGACATCCTTCAAGAGCTATGTGAATGTTGGTGTCTAAGACCAATATATAAGTCTCAATGCCTTCTATCCGCACTTTCATCTTATTCTCCATGACCACGTGTCTTTCAGGTCCTTTTATGGTTTGGATCATACTGAATCCCTGTTTAGTATGAGAAACGTGAGTAGTAGCACCTGAACCTAACCACCAAGTATTGTTGGGCGCTTCAATAACATTCGATTCAAAGCAAACTAAAATGTTATGTTTACCTTTGCTTTCGAACCATGCCTTTTTTTCCTGATAATCTTTCTTAACATGTCTAGTCTTCTTACAGAAAAAACACTTGATTTCTTTTCGAACTTGGCTCACGTTATCTTTTATTGGAATCCTTCTTTTTGTCATTCTTCTCTGGTTTTATTATATTGTTGTCGGCATTAGTTTGAACTGTAAGATGGACAAAATGTTCTTTCACCTTCTTTAATCTCCTTTCCTCCTGTATGAGCATGACCTTCAATTCCCTAAAGTTACATTTTTCTTTGATGGTGTTATAATTTACTTGGAACTGACCAAACTCAACAGGGAGAGAGTTCATGATGAATTGGACCAGAAATATCTCATTAACATCCATTCCCATAGCTTTCAACTTTGCCACCATATTAGACATGTTTGTCACATGATCATGAATAGGATGTGCCCAGTCAAACTTTTTCGTGGTCAGTTCGCTCATGAGACTTCCTACAATCGACTTGTCAACCAGATCCGACTGAGAATACTCTTTAATCTTTTGCATAAATTCTTTTGCACTTTCAGTTTTAGGCATCGATGGCTTAACACTTTCTGCCATAGTGATCCTCATCAAATTCAAACACAATCTATTTGATCGCTCCTAGGAATCGAAGTTAATCATGTCATTTTCTGAGCTTTTATCTGTAATGGTTGTTACCTTTTCATTCAACAATGCATGATCCATATCATTGAAACCCAAATAAAATTGGATTTGTTCAGTCCAATCTTCATAGTTAAACCCGTTGATATTAATAATTCCATTACCAGAAGCCATAAGGTTAAGTGAAGCTGAAGATTTATAAATATTTATCCATTAGTATTTCAAAAGTAACAATAACATATACTAAAATTCACCTTTGAGCAATACTTCAATACATACAATAATTGATGCAAAATATACTTTAATGGACATCATGAAACTATTAGTTAAATAAATATGCAATTTTTGGACATACATATTTATTAACTTAAATTATATCCCTCTAATATTATTAATCATATACATTGATCTATCTTTGAATGATCTAATAACAATATGATAAATAATTATAATTGTTTATTTATTTATTTATTTATTTTGTATCATACATCAGCGTTCTTTTCATTATAAACAATTAAAACATATATATTTTGTTTAAATATTTATTTTAATTTAAACTAGGTCACTTTGGTGATTAGCAAATTTAAAATGTAAAACAAATCAAAAGATTTTTAACTTCCATATAATATGTATCCACATAGTTAATTTCATAAAGTATATAAATTATTATCCATACAAATTACTATACGATTACATAATATATATACTTATAGAAGATACAAAAATAATAATAATACATATTGATATGTATTATAAAAACATAGAAATTATCAATATTCTTTATTGTTAAAATTTTGTACTCGCATTTGATTTAATTAAAATGATCTTTGATGTAGTAAATATTTTCATGATATTTTATAATTTTATATTATATTTTCATGCACGTAAGTTTATGTGCTCATATATATTAGTTCATATATATATACACATACTTTAATTTCTATTACTATAACCTTTGATGATACATTTTTAAAAAAAACTGTAACCATATATTATACATATTAAAATTTCGAAACTGTAATCGATAAATTATGATAAAACAAAACACATGCTCTAATACAAATGTAAATTTAATTTGATGGTTTTCAATAACTTAACTTTATGAAAACTCATCAAGACTGAATACGGTTTTACATAATTCACACAACTTGAAATTAGTATATATATATATTATATAAGAATTGTACTTGAATCCATGTTGTAGCGAAATAACTTTGAAGAACAAACTAAATAGTTTCGTTGTTTGTTTTTCTGTCCTATCACCCTTACTTTTTTAGCTTTTTCGATGGATAAAAAATATGAACCAAAATTTTCATTATTTATAGGGTAAGAAGAGGAGAATAAACTTAACTACCCATGAACTTCAACACCATAATTAACTCATTTCCATCAATGAAGTCAAGATCATATAGAAGTCAAAAAACCCAAAATTACATGGGTCATTAAAATGTTATATTTCCAATACCATGATTGTAATTCAAGAAAATGCTATACAAGCATTTCCAATGGGCCTTCGCTTTGTTAGCTGATTTGGTTCAAGTCTGATCAAGTGGGGCTAAAGTCAAAGTCATGTTTTGGTGTAAAGCTTCATAGAAGGGAAGCACGATTTCTATGTTTCAAAACTGCAGTTTCTTTTATTCAGTTATTAGTGTAGTAGTGTTTCAATTTTTTTTATGTAATTTCTAGTGGCAGTTATTTTCTGTATTTACTTTTGTATAAGATTTATCTAATTTAGAGTTTTATGTATGAATGAATGAAGTTTTTTTTTCTTATGAAAACAGATCTATAAGCATTCATCAATTTTCTGGTTTGGTGAAAAATTAATGAGTTTCGTATTTGTGTGAATTACAGTGGTACCAGAGCATCCATTTGATCTTGTTGAGAGCCTGTGGAGTTTCTTTTCGAAGAAAATCTGATAGAAGATGGATCTTGTTGAACCTAGTGGTTCCTCCTCCTCGTCAACTGGTAGAGTGCCCGCTTTTGATGGAGAAAACTATCAGTTGTGGACTACGAGAATGAAGACATACTTGGAAGGAGCATATCTGTGGGAAACGGTAGAAAAGGATAATGAAATTCCTCTTCTGAATGTGAATCCCACTCTTAATCAGATCCGAGCACACAAAAAGAAAATGACAAGGAAGGCTAAGGCAAAATCTTGTATTTTCTCTTGTGTTTCCCCCGAAATATTAACACGTCTTACTGGTTTTGGTTCTGCAAAAGACATGTGGGACTTTCTTAAGAAATAATTTAAAGGTGACGAGAAGATTAAGGGGACGAAGGTTCTGAGTCTCTTGAGAGAGTTTGAAAGGCAACAGATGAAAGGTTCTGAATCGATCAAGGATTATGTGTCAAGGTTAATATCTATTGTTGAAAACATAAGAATCCTTTGTACTGATATGGAAGATGAGAAAGTGGTTCAGAAACTTCTTGTTTCTACTCCACAAAGATACGAAGCAATTATTGCTTCTCTTGAAAATACAAAAAGACTACTGAAACTTGCAGAAATTGTCAGTGCTCTGCAAGTACAGGAACAGAGGCATGCTATGAGGAAAGAGAAATAATTTGAGAATGCTATGAAAGCAAAGGTGAAAGGAAGCAGGTTTGTGAAGAAAAAGGGAAATCAGAAACAGAAGAATGATCAAGACAACAAACTTGGACCTTCAACAGAATCTGGTAAGTATCTTGATTCTTTAAAGCCATGTAAATACTTCAATAAAGTAGGTCATCCACATTGGAGATGTTGAAAGAAGATGGAGTGAAGAAAAAGTCACAAGGTTGGGCACATTAAAAGATATTGTTGAGCAAAGGATGTAAGTGATGAAAAAGCTTAAACTGTAGAAAATGCAGAAGATGAGCATCTGTTTGTTGCTTCCTGTTTTGCAACAAATTTGCACCAATGATCACTTGCATGACGAGTCTTAAATTTATAATCCGAAACACAACGTATCCGCAAGTATACGGATGATGTAGTACCGGGGTCGAACACAAGGACTTAGTGCGGTTAAGATAGGAATCGATTAAAACTAGAAAAATGTTGAAAATAAAGTTGAAAAATTGTTTTTGTGGTTTTGGAATTTTAAGAAACTAAATAAGATGAAATAAATTCAAAGACAATCAAGATTCAAGAGGAAGAGATCAAATGGGAAGGCTATGGGATTCGGGAAACACCGATCATGCAAGGATGCCGTAAGGAATGATGGACCTAGATCATGCTTGTTCTAAAGTGAGAGATTCGAAGACTAAGGTCGTTTCGACTCTTTCGAGTCGAATACCACTATCCAAGAGAGCACCCTATCCACTCTCGTGGCCTAGACTGAAATCCCGAATGCATAAAATTCTCTTTCAATAATCATAGGTTGGATTGAACTGAATTTCTTCGCATTCGATCTCAACCCATTTCAATGAATGCATCAAAGAACTAAGAACCCATGTCTCCATGGAATTCACAATCCAAAAATTTACCCACAAGATTTTCATCCAAGGGCAAGCATTAAACACCATTTATCAACCTCTAGCAATCAAAACCCAAGCAATTGCATCACTCAATTCATAAATCCTAGGTCTCCCTAAAGATTCATTCAAGAGAGATGAGAGATAAACATGAAGGACAAAAATTTCCATTCAATGCAAGAGTTTGAAAGCATAAACAAAGCACAATCTTGGGTCCAAAGCTGAATATAAGCATCCTTACATGAGGGCTAATCCCTCATCCCATAACAAGAAACTACTCACTACTCATGTTCAAGAACACCAAAACAACTGAGTGAAACATAGAGAGAGAAAGGGAAAAGAGATGCTCAATAGGTTCTTCAATCTTTAATCCAAAGCAATCTCCTTGTTTTTCAGTCAAGATTTCGGCCCTAGGTATTCTGGAGGAGAGAAAATCGCCGCCTCTTCTGTCCCAAAATCGGTCTCTCCCTCACAAGTCTGAAAATGACGGACTTAACAATTTGCAGGTCACACGGTCAGCCGGAATAGAGTTTGGTCCGGCGGATCGGACGTGCGAGAGAAGAAGGAGCGCAACGCAAAGTGATCCTAGTCCGGTGGACCAGAAAATGGTCAGCTCTGGACTAGTACTTCAATAGGTTTCCTCAGCTGACTCTGGCGGACTGGCTTTGAGCGGAGAACTTCCGGTCCGGCGGACCTGCATCAGTTAGCTCCGGATTAAGCTCACTTCCAGGTCTGGTCAGCTTGTCTGGTTCGGAGTGGTTTGATGGACTTGCAGAGCTCGGGGCAATCCTAGTCCGGGGGACCATAGTAGGTCAACTCCGGACCATGCCTTCATCTAGTGCTTGGTCAGCTCATCTGGTTCGGAGCGTGCTGGCGGACCGGAGTGTGATGCAGGTCCTGGTCCGACAGATCAGAAATTTGGTCAGCTCCTGACTAGGACTTCGAGTCTTGGTCAGGTCGCCTGGATCAGCATGGACAGGTGGACTACGAGTCACATCTGGTCCGGTGGACCAGATTTGGTCAGGTCCGGACCAGATGAACTCCACAGTTTTCTCTCGGTCTTCTCTCGTCGTCCCGACTGGATAAGTTGAGCACGTTCCGTCCGCCGGAGTAAGATCTGGTCAGGGGCGGACCGGAAGCCTGTTTGCTCCGTTTCTCGCTGGATTTCCGCATCGTATTCTCGGGGTCCTGCCAAAGACAAAAAATAGTCCCAGAACCCTAGGGTAGCTCTAAAATGCCTAAAAGTGTGTGGAAACCGTTTAGAAACCAAAGGCATATTCGTATACAATCCAGATAAAATCTGAGTCATCAAATCCCCCCAGACATAAATCTTTGCTCGTCTTCGAGCAAATAATACCAATGAAACACAAATCCTGAAAGGGGTGGTGAGTTATAGATCGATCTTTGGTGAGTTCAAGATCTAACTGCACATCCACTGCTCAACTCATGGGAGTAGAATCGAATCTAGGATACTGTAGCTATCCTCTCTTATCAACTAGACCTTCCTG